TACCAAGAGAGGAGGGCTTGGGAGAGAGGAAAGAACCAAGCACAATAGTCTTTGGTGGTTGAATGTGAGTGAGTTGGTAGTGGTTGCAATATGGTAGTATTACCTGATGGGAGTACCCCAATATTACCTCAATGTTAAAAGTCAATCAATGAATTTTTAAAAATTAAAGGAAAGAGAATGGAAAACAACAAAAACAAAAACAAAATACACAACACCCTTTTAAAGCTAAGTAAATGAGGGATTTGTACTGTACTTCTAGGAAGGATAACTGGTGTCTCTTACTTTGAAATTTATACAAATTTCTCCCTCCATATCATCTTTCTTTTCCCAGTGAGCCATTCCTTCTTCAAAATTTCTGTTAAAATGCCAAGATACTACACTGTAAGGAAAAAAAAAATGTAAAGCCAACAAGTAGATTTGGAGAAAAAGGGAATATAATTTGATTCATGCTTTATGGAAAATGGTATGGTGATTCCTCAAAAAAAAAAAAAAAAGGAAAGGAAATACCTTATGATTCAACAATACCACTGCTAGGATTTTATCCAAAAAATATAAAAACACAAATACAAAAAATATATTTATGTGTTCCTGTAGTCATAGCAATATTATTCAAAATAGCAAGTCATGGAACCTACCTAAATTCCAATTAGTAGACAAATGAATAAAAATATTGTGGAATATATAACCAATGGAATACTATTACTCAGTTATCAAAAAAATTGATAGTGTCTTTTGGGACAAAAGGGGTGGGTGGCCCTTGCAGTGATCGTGCTAAGTAAAATAAGTCAGAAAGTGAAAATTAACCAATGGTTTCACTGATTTAAGGATTATAAAAATAACCAAAGAAAATAAAATGCAAAACAAAAATAATAAGTCTTAGATTCTATGAAAAATATACCCCAGAGGAGTCTGGGGAGGGGTGAGAGGATGGACGGTGAAAGGGTGGTGGCACTGGAGAGTTGATGGAGCATGTGCACTTACAGAGGTGTGAAGCTGTGTTCCTCAAATTATATGGCTTGTAAACTAGTGTCAAATCAATAACATTTAAAAAAATAAATAACTGAATCTCAGTGTTAATTCAATAAAGGTAGGATCTATGTGGGAATATTTCAAATATTCTAATTGGAAAAAGATTGTTATGAAACAAACATTGTGAAGAATGAAAGAAAAAACACAATAATCATTAAGGTTATGACCAATGCATTTGCTTAAAATATGACTGAGACCACACTTATCGAAGCACAAAGATTTATTGAGTTGAATAACTGTACTAATATGAGTTCAGTGAAATTTATAGGTATAATATAACAATAGAAGATATATGGTTTAGGATAAAGGATGTAAGAAATGCTATTTTCATTGAAAGTCTAGTTCTAAAAAAAATAAATGAAACCATATAGAGATAGGAAAAATTATAGAAGTAGCTTTTCTAAATAATCTTTATATTGCATTATTTTAAGTGACCATTAATGAGGAAATTATAGCTTATCCCATTCTATAGTTTATTCAAATTCTGTATAAAGTTAAATGAATAAAGCCCATCCATAAAAGTATAATTCATAACTGGATACAAATTTAACCTTGCTTCTGTTACAATATCTAGAGCTACTATTTCAAATTAATATGCTTAATGTGCTAGCTAGAAATTTATAATATTCAATTCTTCAACCTATGATTTTCATTGTCATGTGTGTCCCTGTTATTAGAGACCATTTTTATCCTGGGGAAAGCCTGAACCTTAGATAATATATTAATATCCCAATATTTCAACCTGTAAGCATTAAAATTTCATATGATGAATTTTGTGGTTAAATATAATTTGATATATTTTAATTTTTAAATTGTAATAAGTAATTTTGGTATTTTGTTATAAATTTTAAAAGGTGAATTTTTCATAATAGATCACTTAAAGAATTATCTATCAACATATCTAGAGATTAATATATGTTTTTAATGGCTTAATCAAAAGCATTGTAAATTGATGTGGAACTTCTTTACAACTTCACTGTCTGTCTAATCATTGTAATTTCATTTATCTTAGAGCTTTCTTACATTCCAACCTTCATTAAATATATAGGGGCAGAAAAAGTACTTCATGTGACTAAGACTGGCTCAAAGATAGTTTTTAAGGATATGTGACTGAAAAAGTGGCATAGGAAGAAGACAGAAGAAACAACCCTGGTACAGTTTACCGTAATTGTTTCACTACTACTTTTTTCAAACTTTTCAACTCAATACACTTACTAAGTTTCATGTTAGTCCAGTTTTTATACTATCAAAAAATATATATGCATAACTATATAATTTCAATTATATTGTTTACAATTATTCTTAGCAGATGTTTAAACATGTCAGAGTAGGGCCTCCCCAGAGGCACAGAGGGTTGAGTGCAGCTCTGTGAAGCTGTCTGCAGCCTCTGCAGCACCAGTTTAATTCCCAGCTTGCCGGGGAAATACCCACATGGTGCAGCAGACCTCTCTTGTCTCACCCGCTGCTCCCCTCAGCAATGCTTTTGGTCCTTTTGCCTGTTCTGCTCCTTGCTCTGTCTCTGGTGAATTCTCTCACACTCCTGCACCTCTTGCCTGTACCCCAGTGCTTGTATAAATAAATAAAAAAAAAATCTTTAAAAATGTCAGAGTAAAATTTCTGCCAAGGGAAAATAATTACCAATTAGCAAATCAGTTGTATCAGTCAATGGAGGAAACATATGTTATTTCTAAACAATCTCCTGGAACCTATAACATTATTATAATAATTACTGTGTATAAAGCCTATAGACTTGGTTCCTTATGTATACTCATAGTATTATACCAAATTATTTGTTATATATTTATGTAAGTAAATACCAATTATAATCACCTAGCCATACTATTTTATACTATATTAATAAATCCAGTAAATATTAAAATCATTTATTAAAAGGATTTCAAATCAGTACATTTCTGAAAAGGTTTTATCTTTCACTAACTTTTTAATGAAAGTATTCAATGAAGTTAATTGTAGCAACAAGTACTTTCAGTGGAATTACATATTAAGACAGCATCATAGTCACTAGCTGTGCCTAACAGAGAACTTAAATAGAAACTCAGTTTTAAGATTGTCCAATGAGTTTATAAAATTCCCTTTGGTTCTGTTTATCAAGGCACAGTCAGCTTAACTTTCAAGACAAAAAAGGGCCATATTTCATTTGTCTTTAAATTATCTGTCTTTGTTCTTGTGCACCAACTTGCAATGAGGAAATGTGTAAAATAGTGCAAATTAGTGTAATTAGTAAATTAGTGTAAATTAGTGTAAAATAGTGTAAAATGTGTAAATTAGTCTCTAAGAGTTTTAACTGAAAGAATTAAATATTTCCTTTCATTGATGACAATAAAAATGATCTTTCTCCAACCTCAACAAATAGAAACACACTCTCCCAGTTATCAACACACTAACATGACTCTATAGAAAGAAAGAAAGAAATTTTGGCCATTCTAATGGAGTAATTTCACATGCTTGGAATATCACACCAAATGGTATGAAGACTCCTTTGCAAACAAAACAGATTACATCTGCAATAAATTAAAACAGAAAGACATCTAACAAGCAATATAGTTGACTTCATTTTATGGGCAATATCTTTTCTGTTTTTTTTTTTTTTTTTTACTTTTAAATATGCAATGATATAAAATGTTTAATTCTGCTACATGGAAACAATAACTAGTATAATTTAATAATAATAATAGCTAACATGACTTTTATTTACTACCTCATTTAAACATTACTGGAGGGCCTCCCTGGTGGCGAAACGGGCTAAGCACAGCAATAAGAAGCTATCTGCAGCCTCTGCAGCACGAGATCGATCCCCAGCCAGGGAGCTACCCACATGGCACAGCAGACCTCTCCTGTCTCTCCCACTGCTCCCCTCAGCAGTGTATTTCAGTCAGTCTGCCTGTTCTGTTCTCCACTCTGGTGAATCCTCTCATCCCCCTACCCCCACCCCGCACCTCTGGACTGTACCCCAGTTCTTGTATGTATAAACAAATAAATCTTCTAAAAGAATAAAATAAACATGTCTAGAGGATAGAGGACTGTTAAAATGCTACAGCTTAAAAATTAAGCAATACTGACTGCATGATTTTCAAAATGAGAAAAGCCATTGAATCCAAGATCTGTAGCTCACAGGTAACTTTTTAATTGAAATGCTCTACTGCTTTAAGTCTATTTACTTTCATATTTTTTCTCATTTGAATTAATTTTTCCTAAAAGCAATTCCATAGAGGAGTAGTAAATACTTAAAGTTCAAGGGCTAATTTATATTAATGGTATAATTAATGTTGTTTTCTGAAAAGCAACCATTATATTTCCCCTTCAATATGAATGATTTTCTACTAAAGAATCAGTATTTCACTATTGTGTCACACCTAAACGATGCAAAAACCAAAAGACAAGACAAATTTAATGTAGTGTTCTGCTACAAAGGCACTTTAATTCTATGCCATTTGTAAATGGGGTCCCATTTACATTAATCTCTCCATTTTGAAGTGAATACACAAAAAAGTAGATTATCTTCTACTGCTAAGAAATCAACAAGGAATGCATTATAACATGAACCCATTGCTGTAGTGCTTTTAAGTGGTCACTATACTCACTAAAACTGTGCAATTTGATCCTACTATTTTTGTCTTTAAATAATTGAGTGATTTACTTCTAAAATACAGAGATTTTTTAATTCTATCAACCACATAAATCAATAACATGTGTTGCTTTGTGTGTTACACAAAAGGGAATTTTGAGGGACTATTAATAACTTATGGGCATATTATTTAGAAAAGTATAATACCAGATGACTGAAATTAGAAATGTGGGCAGAAATCTTGATCCTAGATCTAATAAAAGTGAATAGGAAGTGTATTTCAGCCACTTATGTTAAACAGAGGAAAGGATTAAGGATAAGGAATCCCTGCCATCTCTGTTCACTAATATGTCTCTAATTAGCTATGTGAATTTAAATAACTCACGATCTCCGTATTACAGTTCTCCATCTGGAAAACAGGGAAGAGATTTTATTAAATCAATGGTTCTTACTGAGATTATTTCGCCCTCCTGGGGCATCTGGCAAAGTCTGAAGATAATACTATTATCACAACGAGGCTGGGCAAAGTCAGTGTCGGTGATACTTATATCTAGTAGGTAAAGACCAGAAACGTGGCTAAACATTCTACACTGCACAGGATTAGCCCACTGCAAAGTGTCTGTAGTTTGTTGTTGAGAGGCTCTTAATCTGATTGTATCTATGGTCTATGAAAACATGATTTTAGACTGGATTCTTAAGTTAAATATACAAGCTTGGTGTCTCCACACCAATTATGTTTCTTTCAAACAAAAGTTTGAAGAATCAGAAACAAATAGATCAAACTTTTCTGTCAAAATTTGTCTATAAGGTAGCTTCAACTTAATTATTCCTCAGTGGAAAGCCTAACCAAATGGCTCATCTCCCCCTTTTCCATCTGGATTTTTTTTCAATGTTTATGATATTTAATCATTCAGACTTTCAGTAAAATTTTCTCATATTACTACAGAATCATAGTATGAATACATTATATATACATATATATATTTATAACCCCCATCAAATGTCTAAAGAATGACTATTGTTTATATACTTCCACATCTGCATACATACAAATATTACTTACAAACCCATTATTAATTCACAAGAGACTACGGTGATAGTTCACTGGTGACTTAGTGGTGGGAATCTCACTGGGACTACACCTGAGAGGAAAAATCAAAGACTGTACAAAAATGAAGAATGAGGGTCCCCCTGGTGGTGCAAGGGGTTAAGACTCAGCCTATGAAGCTATCCACAGCCACTGCAGCACGAGTTCGATCCCCAGGCAGGGAGCTACCCACATGGTGCAGCAGACCTCTCCTTGCTTGCCAGCTGCTCCCCTCAGCACTGTATTTCAGTTAATCTGCCTGTTCTGTTTTCCACTCTGTCTCTGGTGAATCCTCACCCCCCACACCTCTGGCCTGTACCCCAGTTCCTATATGCATAAATAAATAATAAATCTTTTTAAAAAATGAACAATGATATAAAATATATATGTATAAATATTAAAAAAACATTAATAATTCAGAGCTATAGGAAGCTATATATGTATCTGTATATATTTGTTAGGGATATATATATTAAAAATATGTAAACCCTGTTTAGGATACATAAACCAATCACTATTCCTTTTTAGTGATATAATATTGACTTTCTCTTGATTTAAACAAATATAATATTAAAAAATAAGAAATTAAACAATATACATTACATATGTACAAAATAAAAATAATTACTCATGTAAAGAACTTTATAAAATATAAAAATGTCAAATATGTAAATATAATCTTAACTTTGTTATTAATTCAGTTATAGCTTTTAATGCACTCTTTGAAGCAGAAATATAATATCCTTTTTCATAATACATGGACAGTTTCAAAAATCTTTTTTATAATATCAAGGTTATTGTGCATATGAGACTACCTACCTTCACAAAATTGTAAGTTATGATTCAATGATGAATGTTACCTAGAAAAGATACTCTATTAAAGAGATTTTAATAAAACTGAATTATATAAGAGTATTTCTATAATTATTGTCTAAAAGCTAAAATAAAAGCTTATTTTTATTTGGAACCACACTGTGGAGGAAAAGTGCTAAAAATTTAATAACTACTCAATATGAATTTCCCTTACTAGAATAGTCTTCTAAAGGAGAATCAATATTTAATTAAAAATTCAGTCTTATGCTGACACTCCATTATCTGTTAATTTCTAAGCTCTATTTTGGGGAAATCTAGTATTCCTTGGTGACTCTTGAAGAATTTCTGTATGCGGTGGGGTTTGGAGAGAAGGAATTTCATTCAGCATAAGCTCCCCATTCTACTTTAATCAAAACAGTGCCTCTTATTACTGTATATTCTGATTTTTTGAAGATTTTTGATGAAACACACATACAGAACAACAATGAAAGGTGGAGAATTTAGATAAATGTAATGGCATGCACTGTATTACACTGATGTCTTGATAAATTTTAATTAAATTCTTGTTTGAAATTACTTTAAGTTATTGAACTTTAGAAATAATAATAATAAAGGGTGACTTTCAGGATACTGGAAGAGCACTCTATCTTCCACAATGCAGGCAATGTTGAATTAATGCAGAACATAACTGCATTTCTTTACCTTAAGGTGTTCATTATTGGTTAAAATAATTAAATTCACGTACATTGGCACAGCATCTTAACCTTTATGAAAATAGTTAGGCTAAAATAATAAAAGAAAAATATATAGACAAGAGTTTATTCCCTCCACTAGACAATAATTGCATTTAGCAAGTGAAAGACATACTATTTGATTGTAAAATATTTCTTTCTAGGGAGACTATGAAGTAAAAGTTAAACTAATTGACATAGTGAGTACGAGCACGTATATCTTTTGTCAATGTCTATTTTAAGCAAAAGTAAATCTAGATGCAGTATAGTTTCTGATACAGGCAGATTTTTCTTTTTTTTTTTAATATTTTTTTTTTTTTTTTTTTATTTATACAAGCACTGGGTACAGTCAGAAGTGCGGGAGGGTGAGAGAATTCACCAGAGCCAGAGTGGGGAGCGGAGCAGGCAGAAGGACCTAAGTACACTGCTAAGGGGAGCAGCGGGCTGCAGGAGAGGTCTGCGCGCCATGTGGGACCCTCCTCTGGTGGCCGGGGAGCAGCTGGGGATCGAACTGGCACTGCAGAGGCTGCGGGCAGCTTTGCAAGCCAGCGCTCAACCACTGCGCCACCGGGGAGGCCCCAGGCAGATTTTTCTTTAAGATACTGTTTTACTAAAATGCACTGAAAATTTCAGTGCATTTTTCCATTTTATATTAACCATATTTTAAAAATCAAGTTCTCAGTTACAGAATTCTAGATGTATGGTTTTATTTTAATCTCAAATCTTACTATAAAATGATCACTGGAACCTAAGTTTTCAAATACAAAATATCTTGAAGCTTTTGGATTATAGTTCTACATTATAGACTACTGATTCTCAGGATGATTCTAAGAGCATCATTTGCTAAGACTGAGCACTGCCACCTGTTAACATTGCATCATGCACTGTACTACTATAATCATGTCTTAGAAATAAAGCAATGGGGCCTCCCCGGTGACGCAGCGGTTGAGCACTGGGTTGCGAAGCTGCCCGCAGCCTCTACAGTGCCGGTTCGATCCCCGGCTGCTCCCCGGCTGCTCCCCGGCCACCAGAGGAGGGTCCCACATGGCGCGCAGACCTCTCCTGCCGCCCGCTGCTCCCCTCAGCAGTGTACTTCGGTCCTTCTGCCTGCTCTGCTCCCCGGTCTGGCTCTGGTGAATTCTCTCACCCTCCCGCGCTTCTGACTGTACCCAGTGCTTGTATAAATAAATAAATAAATCTTTAAAAAAAAAAAAAAAGAAATAAAGCAATGACCAAGTTTATTACTTATTGGAGTGTATCAAAGGGTCATAAAAATTTCTAATGTAATAGCTTAAGTGACAAAATAAATCATTTTATTGGGACAATGAAATCTGGAGCTAAGAATTAAAAAGAAAAGAGAAGGCTAACTGTACACCTTTATTCAAAATAATATTTTAAGCTTGCCTATACAATTATATAATTATATTTTAAAACATATTTTAAGAGCCTCTCTGGCAGAGCAGGGGTTAAGTCTCAACGTTATCATGCTATGGTCACTGCAGCCTGAGTTCTATCCCCACCAGGGAGCTAACCCACATGGCACAGCAGACCTCTCCTGTTTCACCTGCTGCTCCTCTCCGCAGTGTATTTCATTCATTCTGCCTGTTCTGCCCCCCACTCTGTGTCTGGTTAATCCTCTCATCCACCTGCACCTCTGGCCTAGATCCTAGTTTTTGTATGCATAAATAAATTAAATCTTTGTAAAAATAAAACATTTTAAGTTTGTGTTAGATATAAGTAACCTATGATATTGGAAGTATTATAAATTAAGAGACTTGAATAAAGTTTTTAGAATTTGAAACAAAATCAGCTTTCATGATCACAATTAAAGATGATGGGCTGGTGACAATCATTTTAAACTTGAAGAATAAATCATTCAGGCAGCTGCAGATGGTTAGTTGCTCCCTACCCACCTTTCCTAGCTGTACTTATGGTCAGACAAAAAAAGTATATATAAAAAAAAGGTGCTAAAATTCTCTATTAAAAAGCTGTTTAGAGGAGTAATAACAATGATTAAATTCTGAAATCTTGAATACAGAATACAATTAAAAGGTATTAGATAATAAAATATCCTACCACGCATCATACACCATCTACTGTATAGTCTTACTTCACCTTCTCTAAACTGCATAAATTGTCTAGCTATTTTTGTTGTATTTTATTTCTATGTCATAAACTCCTATCCAATTCATTTAACATTTTCAGTTACTTTTTTTATTCCACAAATCATTATCCCCGTTGCTCCACATACTATGCAATTGAAAAGGCTAACAAAGAAAGAGATGTCACATTGTCCTTAGAGATAACTCCAGATTGGAGTTCTTTATGTGGCTGAGTGTACTGCTGAGCCTCACAGTAGTGGCAATGGTAGAAGAGGTTTTATACCTCCAAAGTCCTAGCAAATTGGCATCAATCACACTTGTCTGTTTCCTTCACTGATTTCTTTCAAGCTCTTTTGAATTTTTTTTCCTTCCCATATTGTGTGTTGACATTCAAATCTTAATATTAACAGACACAGGATTGTTCTGTATATGTGTGTATATATATATATAAAGTCATATATACAATACATATACACACACACTTATGATAACTGGATAATAATGAGACACCATTTCACAAAGAGCACTCTTATATTTCCACAAAGTGAAGAGCTTTCCCAAGAATTCTTTCTGAAATTTACATTGACATATTTTTATAAAAATAAATGAAACAGAATTTCATTATAATTATGTATCTCTTTCAGGATTCCATAACCCTTAAACTGCACAATCTGCAAATGACATGTTAATATATTAAAAAGGCATCTTACACAGTTTTAATATTATTGGTTTATTAATAGAGTATATAATTAAGTTTTCTTTTTAAAGTAAATATATACAATCTGGTTGGTAGTTAAGGACTGTAATTTAAGAAAACCCTAAATTAATTTTTAAGTTATAGGAGTTTTAGGTAACAGTCATTCTGTAAAGGTTTCCATTTCCTCACCTTCCAATAAAGTTTATTTTCTCTTCTACCACACTCCACTTCTATCACTCGTATATCTAGGACTTTCCTATTTGCCATATGGAATGGAATCTTTGATCCTTAGGCCCTTGGACTTCTCAAGCAGGATTTGCTCAAACTAGCCAATCTTGCATGGCAACTATTTTTCCCTGAGCCCCAATCTGTGTTATTTCAGGGATGTTGGAGGCGGCCACCCCACGTAGTGAGCAAAAGGGTCTTGACCCGAGTCCCTAAGGCATGTGAAAACACATGTGTCTTGGAGGAAAACCTCTGAGTGACAGGACTTGGTGTTGAGAGCCTGGAAAGTGACCTGCGTGGAGTCAGGCTTCTACATCTCCACAGTCTGAGAATAACAAAATGGAGAGACCCTGCACAGCGAGCAGAAGGGCCTTGACCCAAGTCTTTAAGGCATGTGAAAACACATGCATCTCGGAGGAAAACCTCTGGGTGACAGGACTTAGTGTTGAGAGCCTGGAAGTGACCTGTGTACATCTCCACAGTTTGAGAATAACAAAAATAATGAGCGAACTTCCCAGGCTCTGGCTAGGGGACAATAAGATTATGTGTGTGAGAACTAACCACCTGGTACCCTACTGTCTGAAGTAAATAGATAATAGTAAGAAAATAGACTAATCATTCATACATGTTATCATTATATGGTATGCTTTGATGTTACACCTGCTGCAATTAAAATAGTATATAATGAGCACTAAGACAATAAAGATTGACTGCATGCTGGACATGACAGTCCCCCATGTCTGATTTCCCTCCCCGTCGTGTCCCAGGTTTGACTCACTAGAAGTCCACACAGGCACATGAAACTCTGCTTCCAAACAAAGCTTCAACACATCCGTCCTCTCCCACTGGGTGTTCCCACCAGAGCATACTGCTGGAATTCCACTCATAAGACTTACTCACTGTCACTTCTCAGAGTCCTCACTCAGATTGTTCCCTCTTTCTTTTTATCTCCAATTCAAATCTCACTTCTATTTCAGCATTTAAATTTTCTCCTCTTTTACTCTTAAGCATACATGTACATACACATACACACTCCACATCTTTGGGTAGAAATACAGTAGATGAGTCTTGTCTTGAATTCTACTTGTACTCTCATACAGAAATTCATGTATTTATAAAGTATGTATATATACCTTTGTATATCATACAGAAGTTCATGCAAACATAACATGCACATTCCATACATATACTGCATTTATTAATGCACATGCACATTACATGCATGATCTGTAACAAATTACGAAGTGAATTATGAATTATACTTCTGCCACAAATTCACTATTCCATGTGGA